AGCCACCGGAAAGAGGCAGCCACCGACGCAACCCGGCCGGCTTGCAAAACACACTGTGGAGGCCCCGTGGACCTGGCGTGGCACCACGGCTCGTCCAACGCCGCCTCGGACACTCGAGCACCAGCGTGGCAGAAGAGGGGGATACCCCAAATTTGGGGGATACCCCAAATGCCCGCTTCCCATGGCAAAAGCCCACCTAGGGCCTTCCGGGGGCTGGTGGCTGGCGTTTGCAACGAGCCCCGTGGCTACCTCTGCTCGTGGAGCGCTGCTCCGCAGGTCATCATCTGATCTGATGATCTCTTATTTTAGATCTCAGGTGTCTTATTTTAGGTGTGTTACAGCAAAAACCAAATAGGTCTGGAGGAACCAGATCCCAAAAAAATCCCCCGTCATAAAGATTTGCCCTTGTGGTTGGCGGGCAAACGTGCAAATGCCCTAGCTCATGTCCCATAACTTTAGGCCGTTGTAAAGATGTCATTAATGTCAACTCTCTCCTGCTGCAGATCAACCGATGGGTTAATATTTATTAAGGGCCGCGGAGCATGCCAACACACAGCGTCATGAGACAGCCGGAGGGAACGGGAGCAAACAAGAAAACCTGCAGAATCGTTTTTCCGAGCTGTCTTTCTCAACACGTTGGAAAAAAAAAAGCTAAAAGCCTAGCGCCGTCCCTTCTGCGCCGTCCCTTCTGCGGCCCTTCCATCGCCTACGAGTTAGCCCATCGCTTGGCCGCCGAGGGTTAAACACACCCACCGGAAACAAGGACCTCCTTGGAGGGGAGGGACGCAAGGAGCAAAGAGTTGGGAGGTGGTGCTGCTCCGGCAGCTAGCCGATGTTGGCAGAAGAAAGATAATTCCTGAAAGCTAGCGCTCGCCGTCCATTGCCTGCCCGGGGCTGGGCCAGCTGGCGAGGGCTTTTCGGCCATCGCTGGTATGACTGTGTTTTAGCCGCTTATTGGACGGGTGTTTCCCACAAAGTCCCACGAGCAGCCCCCTTCCTCGTTGCTGGTAAGGGGCGTTTCAGCCCATTTCAGCTTGTGCGCAGTCTTCACACAGCTGCTGGAAAAACATATGGACCCTTTTTTTTGCTGTCCTTCTGGGTAATCCAGAAGGGTTGAGGAGCTGCTAGTCCAGCCCATCAATGCGGTTCGGGGGTGCAGAGGAAAGGCTCAGGCGCCGCAGCCATGCTACAGCCGCAGGGACGCTCAAAGTGGTGGGACATGGGCACTGGGAGCTCCGTTGTCAACACCATATATATATAGGCAAATGCAAGGATGTCCCCGGTCCCCTCTGCTGCTCTGCAGCCTGGCCGGGTCATCCTTGCCCAGCAAGCCAAGGCACTGAGGGCAGGGATGGTCGGGGGTCTGAGCAAGGCTCAGGCCACCCCATGAGCCCACTTACCCCACCGGGGGTGGTAGAGCAGCTAGCGGGAGTCGCGTCCGCTGGGCACGGCGTTTTCCTCTCCTCCGGCCGCGCCGTTATCTTATCGTGGCATCGCATGGTGCACAGTCACACGTCTGCCAGGTCCCTCACCCGGGGAGATGCTGTCACAGTTCGGTGACCTTGATTTAGCATGAAGCAGCACGTGGCCTGGGGACTGCAAGGCATCCGGTGGCCGGGGACGCAAGGGGATGTTCCCAACAGCTGCTCCGGCTCGAAAGGCAGATGAATGTCTTGAACGGTGGACCAGCAAGGCCAGAAAACGTGTGCTGGAGGAGGTTGAACGTTCACCCATCCCACAGCTGAAAATTGGGTCATGTCAGAGAGTTATCAGGAAGCACTTGGCCCGCAGGCACCTCAGAGGGAGTCGGACGGAGAAGTTGTGATTTTTCCGCTAACCGGCAGTAGGATAAATCCAAACAACATCTGACATTAATCAATAGGGGATCGTCATAATCCGTCTTAGAGGCTTATTCCCAGCTCTGCCACTGAGCGGTTGCGTGACCTTGAGCAAGTCACTTCAGGTGGATGTTATCTCCTTGTATTGTGGGTGCCTGAAAATTGGGTGTCCCGGCTCTGCCGGTCACCCCAGGGCCAGTCAATGGAGAAACGTGGCCGCCTCCCAAGGGAGCTCATCTCGCCCCGGCTTGGACCACCTCAGGGTGAGATGAGTCGCCCTCAGCAGACCTCTCGTTCCTTCCACTTTCGTCTCCATAAAGGAGACCAAAGTGAGCGGGTTAGCGGTAGACATCCAAAAACAAGCCAGACGACCCTCCAGCCCCGCGTTCAGCTGGCGGCTGCAGGGACGCGGGGCCGTGTCGTGCCAGCTGAACGCGGGCACGGCTGCTGACCCGTGCCAGCCCCGACCCTGCCTGGTGGTCCGGACTAAAACCATGCCGGGGTTTTGCGTGGACAATTTAGCCGTTGTAGCTACTGAGATCACGTGCAACCTCCCGGCCTCGGCACGTCCTTCTGTGAAATGGGGCCAACGGAGGGGTGGCCGCTGCCCAAAAGACTCCTCGTTTTGCAATCCGTGGCGGGGGGGAAAAGAGAGAGAGAGAGAGAGAAGAGCAAAAAAGAAAAAAAAAAGCTCGTGTTTCCTCCTGGCCGGCCGGCGCTCTCCCACCGCGGGGAGAACGTGAGCGCCCCCC